GGGGAGTGAGGTAGCTGAGCCACCCAGAAAGAGGCAGCCCTTGTTCCCCTGGGTAACCTCAGGTATCCTAAATTGGGCAGAGACAGCCTTCTGACATCCCCCCCCCGCCCCCGCTTTTCCATCTGCCTTGCTCTTGGCCATGTGTCTTCCACCCAACAACCTCCCCTAGGGTGTGGGGGTCTCCAAGGTGGAGGGTAAGCTGAGTTCAGTCATGGGTGAGTCCCAAGTGCAGGGAGAGGTGCTGGGGAACTGGGCAAGGGGTGTGGTGCCCAGGCTGGGGCAGATGCTGCTGGTAAGGAACCCACGCCCTCGGCTCATCCCCTATCCTGGGCCAGGGCAATGGTTCTCTCATTCGCCTCAGTTTCCTCTTTTTCCAAGGGAGGGGGTTGGGTTCCATGAGCCAGGAAGTCCTGTCGGGCGCTGGTTCACCCCAGGTCACAAAAGGCTGGTTTGCTTTCGGCAGCCAACCCTCTAAGCTCCTATCACCCCTGCTACCTCACCAGACTTTCCAACAACTTGAAGAACTAAGTCTTACTTTCTCCCCATTTTGCAGTTGAGGAAACTGAGGCTCACACAGAGAAAGCCTGTGCCCCTCGAACATGATGACAGAGCCAGTAGGCATCAGCGTCAATATTTGCTCCCAAATATCCTGAGAGCCCTCGCCCTTGACCATTGACTGAGCAGGGAATGGGGCAGGGCGTGGGCCAACTTGGGGTGTTTTGAGGGGTGGAGAGAAGCAAGGCTGCCAGCCTGTTAATTGGGCTGCTGGGAAGGGTGAGGGGGTGCCAAGGTCAGCTGTACAGAACCATGGCTGCTGGGGTTAGGGGCCCCCACCCACAGCCACAGTCTCTTCGATCCTCCGTAAAACTGTGCAGAATGGCCAGATGGAAAACTGGAAACTCCTGCTACCTGTTCCCCTTTCCTCCCCACGCATGGGAAATCTCTACCCGAGGACAAGTCTGAGGAAGTACAGAGGCGAATTCCCTCCAGCAGGTATAATAGAACAAGTTTCCTCTATCAGGGAAGGCCCCGTGCCCATCCCTGGGCTCACGGGAAGAAATGGGCAGTGCTGAGAGCACAGTCTTTAGGAGCTGGCAGGCCAGGTTCGAGTTTGGCTTCTGCCACTTACTCTATGGTCTTGGAAAGTGACTTCGCCTCTCTGAGCATGTTTTCCCCTGTGTGCAATGGGGCAGCTGATCACGCACCTCCCCCGGAGGGAGCCAGTGTCCATTTACCATCTCACAGCAACCCTAGGATGCAGGTGGGATTATGCCCTTTTTACAGCTGGGGAAATTGAGGCTCAGAGAAGATAAAAACATGCCACAAGTCACACGGCCAGTAAGTATCGAGTAAGTATCCATCTAGGGACGGAGTGCCATGTCCATGACCTCAGACCTCCCTCCACTTACGAAGAACCTAACTGGACAGCCCCCAACATCTCTCTCCCCCACCAGCCTCACTTTTCACCGTGTGGCGTCTGCCTCTCTCTTGTCTCCCTCTGCAGCCCAGCTCACCCTGGATGCCAACCTGCTTAACACCATCCCACATGAGAAGGATGTTTTTCTATGTTTGGGACCCCTGGACACCCTGACTCATGGCAGACCCAGATGTGGGCACAGAACACGAGGCTGTAATTCTCAAGCACCCATCAGGCTCCCAGGCCGAGTCCCAACAGGACAAATCTGATGGGCCCAGCCAGGGTCTGGCGACAATGGGTTGGGTCAGGTGTGCTGGGCGGGGTAACGAGGTGGACTGTGCTGTCACGCTTGAGGGTGGGAAAGGCTGGCCATGAAGCGGGGAGCAGGCCTGGCTTCTGCCACTGTTACAGGCTTGTTTCTCTTTGCAGCGGATGTTGATCAGCCCACTGTCATGTCCCAGACCTTCTGCTCTGTTTGTACAATCCCATTTGTAATGAGGCTCAGAGAGGGGAAGTAAGTTGCCCGCGATCACACGTGGAATGAGCAGTAGATCTAGCATTTGAGCCCAGGCATGGAGCGCACGTGTCTTCTGACAATTCCAACCCACCCCTGGCTCTCTGGGTCCCTCTGTGACTATGTCCTGCTTGGTCTTCCCCTGTCTGTGTCTCTGCCTCTGCCTCCGCCTCCCTCTGCAGAATCGCTGGGCAAGCCCACCATTTCAGTCAGCCAGGGCACTGCCACAGAGCCTAGGGGAACGGTGACCTACTGTGACACCAGGAATGTCAACATTACCAACCACTGGGTCTCCAACCATCTCCCCCTGGTTTCCAGGAGTGCTTGCTGCTGTCCCCAGATGGCAAGACGCTCAGCATCTTGGTGAACTCCAGGACTTACCAATGTGAAGCCTGGGGTGTCCGTGAGGTCCAGAGCAGTGACCCCACCTTCCTGGTGCGAACCGTCAGTCCCTTTCCACTCTCCCCAGCCCCTCAGGGCACCCACTTCTTGGTGATCTCGTTCAGACCATCCAGGCGCAGACTTGTCCGCCCTTGAACTTCAGATGTATAACTGTTTGATGTCTCTACTTGGATTCTGCCAGAAACATCCAACCTAACGTGTCTAAAACGGAGCTCCTTAACCTTCCCTGTTGGATCCAAAATGCTGCCGGGGTCCCAGCAAAGAAGGAGCATTTGCCGGCACACTTTACCCGTGTCTTCCAATCCCTTTTCATCCAGGGACAAGGCTGGCATTTAATGTCCCTTGGACTCCTGCACCTCCTTTGTAATTGACCCAGAGCTTGGGGGGAGGAATATTAATCTTAGCCTTGGACGTTCCCCTAAGAGAGCTGGTGCCGCTGCTCCTGTTACTGCTGTGGCTGCTCTTGTCCCCCCAGATGGGCCTGACCCCTCAAAATCAAGCTGGAGTCTGGGGTGCCCCGCGGAGAGGTGGTTGGGGTGGCAGAGGGCTCCGACGTGACCTCCTCGGTGGAGACACAGCCTCACCCACCCCCAGCCTATTCCTGGTTTCTCCCCAATGACTCCGTCCCGCCCCTCCCCACGGGAACATTCACCATCCATGCTGTGTCCCGGGAGCACGGGGGCGTGTGTAAGGGCTTGGTGTCCAGCAGTGCCACCCACCTGTCCCGCCTGGCTGCTCTTAAAGCCCGAGTCCTTGGCGAGCCTCTTTCGCCTGTCCCTCTCCTTGGTTCCTGCGAGAGCCAGAGCTGCCTGGAGTCCGAGGACCCAGAGCGGTGATTTCCCATGTGGCGGGGGCGACCCCAGGGGAGGACCTGGCTCCTGCCTGGGCACACCCTCCACAAGACCGGTTGGTCCCCATGGGTCACCCGTTATCTGATACTCTGGAAGTTGGGGGGACTGATTCTCCATAGATACAAACACTAACACAACACTCACACATTTATACACACATGGAGTCACACACAAATATAATCCCATGTGCACAGCATTCACACACATGTTCAACACACATGAGATACATACAACTCACACACAACACAACGTGTAACACAATACCACAGGCACACAACACACGCTCACATAAAACACATATAACATGCACACCAGACATATATCACACAGTACATAGTAAATAACACAGCACAGACACACAACACATACATATACCATACACACAAAGCCACAACACATTGGTACAATGTACTCACACGTATGCACAACACATATAAAACACACAGGACATACACAGAGACACATATCTCACATACAACACATCTACAATTAACGAAATCACAAGCACACAACATACTCTCACCTAAAACACGTACACACACAATACGGGCTGGGACATAGTAGGTTTACAGCTGTTCGTATGGAAAATAATGCCACAATGAGTAAATAATAACACTAGAGCCCTGCCGGGTTGCTGAGTTGGTGGGAGTGTTGTCCCATAGTCCAAAAGCTTCAGGTTTCATTCCTGGCCAGGGCACGTACCTAGGTTTTGGGTTCGATGGCCGGTTGGTCCGGGCACGTACTGGAGGCAACCAGTCGATGTTTCTCTCTCACATTGATGTTTCAGTCCCTCTCGCTCCCTATAAGAAGCAATGAATATATCCTCTGGTGGGGATTAGTAGAAAGAAGGAAAGAAAGAAAGAAAGAAAGAAAGAAAGAAAGAAAGAAGGAAGGAAGGAAGGAAGGAAGGAAGGAAGGAAGGAAGGAAGGAAGGAAGAAAGAAGAAAGAAAGAAAGGAAAGAAAGAAAGAAAGAAAGAAAGAAAGAAAGAAAGAAAGAAAGAAAGAAAGAAAGAAGAAAGAAAACTAGAATAAACTCTGTGCTTCACGGACTCACAACTGTAAATCCACTTTTGCCTCACCCTGTAGATAACATACACTCAACACACACATCACAGACACTCAACATTGTCACATACAACACAGAGAACACCACATGTCATACATTCAACATCCTCCACGCAGGCACACAACTGACACACAATACACACACTCAGTGTATCCACAGACCACACACACACAGCCATATACAAAGCATGTACTTACACCATACAACACATACGCATAACATGTACAATACCGCAGACACACAACATACACTCACATGCAGAAAAAAGTATATAGACGGTTCATACACACACACATGCATATGTACAACACCCATACCTCACAGTCGCAAAACATACAGCACACACAATTGACACAAACACACACAAAACACATCCACACACTCCATACACACAAAACACGTATGTTCACATAATCTTCACTCAGCACACACTCATACACAAAAGACATGCACCACCCACACAAGACAGCCATATGCAAAGCAGACACGCACACACCCCGCTCACAACACACACACATACATCCTTGGAGAGCCTGAGGGGCCTGCCTGGGCAGGAGCCTGGGGAAGGGTCCCCGAACCTTGTCCTCTATCTCCACGTGTTTCTAGAAAGGCTGAGCAAGCCTCACGTGGTGTCCCTGACCTGAGCCCTGTGGAGAGCGCCAGCCCCATGGCCCTGACCTGCCAGACCACCCACATGGGGGCTGGAGTCCAGGGGTAACTGAGCGGCCAGCCCCTCCTGCCCAGCAAGCACCTGCTGCTGTCAGCTGACAATAGGGTCCTGGTCACCCACGACCTCTGTGGGACGACATGGGGCCCTGTAAGTGTGAGGTCTGGACCTGGGGCAGCTTGGCCCCAAGTGACCCCCCCAGGCTGGCCATAAGCTATGAGTCACCCTGAGCCTGGACCATCTCCTCCTCCCTTCCTCCCTCCCTTGCTTTTGGCTCTTCCTCTAGCCATTTGTCCCCCAGTTATCGAATACCTGCTCTGCCAGGCACGTCTGGGTACAGGCAAGACAAAGCGCCTGTCCCCATGGAGCTTACGCTCTGGTGGGGGACACATGGGTGTCAAATGGGGCCAAGGCTAAGGAGAACCTTGAGGCAGTGGGAGGGACAGGGAGGGCTGGGCGGGGGAAGGTGTTGCATTCTCAGCTGGGGTGGTCAGGGAGGCCTCCCTGAGGAGGTGGCATTTGTGCACAGACGGAAGGAGGCAGGGAGTGCAAGCCATGCAGGCAGCTAAGGGAAGGGAGCTCCAGGGGGAGGGAACAGACTGTGCTGGTTCAAGGTGCCCAGAGAGGTGAAAGGGGGGAGGTGGTGGAACAGAAGAGGTTGGGAGGTGACAGGCTGGGGCAGAGCAGGCAGGGCCCTGTGGGCCATGGTGAGAGCACTGGGAGCCACAGAGGCTCTGAGCAGAGGAGCGACAGGGCTAGACAAGTTTCACAGGTCTCCCTGGCTCTCTTCTGCAGAGTGGAAGCAGGGGAGAGGCAGGAGGCTGTAGAGTGTGTTTGTCCGGGTCCTTGGAGAGGCAGACTCCAGGGTGGGATTAAATGGGATTATACATGCAGGCTTTTTATTAGAGGAGATGCTCCTGGGAGAAAAATAGAGGGGGAGCCGGGAAGGCTGGGAGAGCCTTGGGCCTGAGATGCAAGCCTGACGCGGAGGGGGAGAGAAAGGGAGGGAGCGTTGGGTGGAAGGGCGGAGACCACCCTGTAGTCTAAGGAACACTGTCGAGGCTGCCAGGGGTCCCACGTCTCCCAGGAAGGGGTCTGCCTCCGTTTCCCCAACTCACCCAGGGGCTGGCAGGGTCAGCCCAGGGGAGGGCTGGGGGTGGATTTCAGGACCAGCACCTGGGCTTCTGGTTAAGTGAACGCAGGCCATTGGCGGCTGCAAGGCGCGCTCTCGTGGTGACCGAGCGCAATGGCCCATCAAGAGGGGCGGGCGCTGGGCCAGGGTGGCCGCCGTGGGCCATGAGAAGCGCTGGGGCTGTGGATATATTTTGAGGAGCAAACCCACAGAACTTGCTGCTGGGTGACATGAGGCAAAAGAGAAAGAGGCGAGTCGAGAACAAGTCCAAGGTTTTTGCCTGAGCTACTCAAGGGATGTAGAAACCATGAGCGGAGGTGGAGAAGCCCGGGGTGCAGGGGGGAAAGGTTTGTGCAGGAGCAGGAAGCAGGGGCCCGCTGTCACGGGTGTTATGTTGCAGGGATGTATAGTAAAGGGTTAAACACACTGCTCCTCTTTCCTTCCTATTTCAGTCATTAAACCAAAAATATCTATTTTGTTCTCTCTCTGTGCTGATCAAATTGTTGGGCACTTGACACTACAGAGCCGTGACTTTCAGAGCTCACAGCCTACTTGGGACGGGGGAAGCAATCATCAGGCAAAGAAAACACAGTGTCACAAGTGCTGCCATGGGATGAGAGGATTTGGGGAACCCAAAGGAAGCCCCCCAGCCAGTCAGCAGGATGTGGGAAGGCTCAGAGTGAGAGGTGGTGTCTATCATGAGCCCTGAAGGCCCAGAGAGTTAGCTAGGTAGAGCGGACTCAGGGAACAGCGTTCTAGAGGAGGAAGAGAATTTGGGGTGGCTTTGAGCCAAGAGGGAACATGCTAAGGATGGAATGTTCTTCCTGGATTGAGAGTGGGAGGCGTAGAAGGGGGAGTGGTGGGGCTGGAGGGGTTTCAAGGGCCAGATTGTGAGTGTGCTCATCAGCCACGGGCTTTGTCCTAAGAACACTGGGGNGCTCGTCAGCCACGGGCTTTGTCCTAAGAACACTGGGGAGCCATGGAGGATTCTCAGCAAGGGAGGGATAGTGTCGAAGTTGTACTTGGAAAGACCCCTCTGGCTGCTGTGTGGAGGATTTGAGGCTGGGGTGGGGAGACCAAGAAGGGAGCAGATGAGGCGTCCTGGTAGACATGGGGTTAGGATGGGGGAGAAATGAACAGATTTGAAGGATATTTAGCAGGGGCNAATCTTTGCATCCTTGTTTCCCAGTAGTTGACATTAATTTAAACAAGACAAGACTCAAACTCTTAGTTTGCATGAACAACCCAACAGCCTTTTTGTCTGTTTCCTTCATGGATGTGGGAGGACAGCGAAGTGCTCCTTACAGAAAAAATCCACAAGTATCACTACCGTTGAGAACACACAGATGGAAAACTAAATATTGTAACAAAGCCAAGTGCTATTAAATAAGAAAGTCCATCACATTTGTTGCTGTGTCCTGTGAACACGGCCCTTAAGTTAGCAACAAATTCAGAAGCCTGATGTCTTCCGAGGCCCCTTTTCAGAATTTGCTTTTGCAAGGGTAGGGTGTTGTGGTTTTGATTTTGATTTTTCCTTTCTCCACGTTGCAAACTACTAGCTACTCACCGGGCAGCTCCGCAGGAAAGGGAGCTCTTTCTCTTGACCTTGCGGATTGCTTTCCGCGGCAGTTAGGAGATCCTTTGCTGTCCAGGCTATAATCTGGAATTAATCTTAGAATTGATGAGGAAAAACGGTGAAACGCCCAGTGTGGGAGGGAACGGGGCAGCAGAGGATAACTGGCCAGTGGGCGGTGGACGCATGTTTGGCTTTGCACACAGATGGCTCTGACCCAGGGGCCACCACCAGGGGCCCGGAGTCCGGGTGGTCAGCCATGTCAAGGCGGAGCTCACCTCCAGCCTGACCCTGCAGTGTCGGGCTGAGTCCCAGCCAGGCACTGGGGATCGCTGGACCCCTGAACTCTCCACCAGTGTGTATCTGGGGGAGAACTGAGCATCAGGACCCTGACCTGGGGACACCAGGGGACCTACAACTGCAGGGCCCTCAACCCTCAGACCCTCCTGGCCTGCTCTGCCTGGGTCCTGGTCAGAGTGGTAGGTGAGTCCTTCAGGTGCACTGCCTTCCCCTGGGGTACAAGTGGCTTCTCCTGGCCTTGGGGTGTAGAAAGGAGTGTACTTCATGGGCAGGTTTCCAATCCAGAGCTGTTTAATCCCAACCCCTAACACTCAGGCCCTAGGACCTCCACTTCCTAGCTGTGTGCCCTGGAAAACTCAGAGGCTGCCCAAGCCTCGGCCTTCCTACATGTAAATGGGGTATGTGACGCCTGCTTTCCACAGCTGTTTAGAAGTACAATGAGTCAGGGAGATAGCCAGTGAGAGAAGGCGTGAGCTGGGAGGGGAATCAGGAATCACATTAATAGCACCTGGGTGTGACTGCAGCGGGTCCCTGCATTTCTGTCTTGAGTTCTTGAGCAAACAACAGTGTCGCAATGAGCCAGGGCTCACATCCTGGCTCCAATGCTTATGAGCTGTGTGACCTCGGACATGCTACTTAACCTCTCTGGGCCTCTGATTCCGTATCTGTAAAACAAACATAATAATTACGTTTATATATATCATAGGTCTGTTGAAGATTATCATGTGTAAAGTTCTATGGCAGTGTCCAGCATATTGTGTTTGTTAAACAAATAAAATTATTATTATTATTTTTGGTTAATCCTCACTGGAGGATATTTTTTTCTATTGATTTTTAGAGAGATTGGAAGGGAGAGAGGGGGAGAGAGAAACATCGATGTGAGAGAGATACATCAATCTCTGCACTTGCCCTAACCAGGGCCAGGGATGGAGCCTGCAACTGAGGTATGTGCCCTTGGCCGGAATCGAACCTGGGACCCTTCAGTCTGCTGGCCGAAGCTCTAACCACTGAGAAAACTGGCTAGGACTATTTTTAACAAATTTTAGCAAATAGACCGTATGTTAAAAAAAAACACTGTAGTAATTTTGCCAACATAAAACATCAGGCTCAAAGAAACTCACAAAAATTCTTCTCAGGTTTGAATGTCTCTTACATCGACAAACCCTCCAAACTAATGTTTCCGTTTTCTTCCATCCTCTGACTTGAAATTAGTGAGAACTAAACCGTTTTTTCCTTCCACCGGGCCCTTTGTCATAATTCTTGTCATCTAGCTTTGCCCCAATAACACTAAGATTTGTGACACAGTTTGTCTACACCAGGCGACAAGCCCCACTCGTACTCAGGGGAAACCGCCTCTAGGCACCGTCACCACCTCCTTCTGAACCCAGGCCTCATGTCCCTCTGACGGAGAGCAAGGATCTCTTGGCTCCAGAGGAACACTCTGCCCTCTTCTGCAGGAAGCAGCCACAGAAGAGACCCTGAACCGCTTTTCTCTGAAAGAATTCAGAGCCAGGATCCTTGAGGAGGGGATGCGGTAGGCAGTCAGAAAGACGAGCAGAGCAAGGACCGTGGGCCAGGTCAGGCCACCAGGGCAGAAAGCCCTGAGTGCCTAGCAAAGGACAGCTGCGGGTGGGACCTCACCCCCAGGGGAACCTTTCCTCCCCTGGCATCTCACTGTCATGCGATTTGGACCTACTAACCATTTCCCTGTGGAGATAACATCTAGGCAGCCGCAGGATTTCAGCACGAGGCCTACAGAAGCAACAGAACCAGACAAGCAACACCAAGGCTGACCTCACAACCAGCTGCATTGAATAACGACTCCCTGCCTCTGGTGCCAACCAATCAATCCGTGGAGACCCCCACCCTGAAAGGACACACCTGGAAAGCTGCTGAATATTCTATTGAGATCTTACCCTGGGACCGCCCCTAAAATCTCCATCCTTAAAACCCCTCTCACAGAGGACGCAGCGGGCTCTTCCTCCAGGGAGGACGCCCACCACTCCCCACCCCCCAGGCGAGTCACCCGCACCTTCTTCACTCCCAAGCTCCAAGGGCCCCTCCTCTACCTCTATACCTTGTTTTCTAAGCCCATTTCTTCTAGGGATTACTTCTACCCTCGGTGATATTCCAAATAAAAGTTCTCTTACAGTTTGAGTTTGGCTCTGAATTCTTTGCTTATCTAGACCCATGCACTGAGTTTGCTGAACCCAGGTTCAGCCTGGCCCCCCTGGTATAACACCTGGTGCTGTTTCAAACGCCGCCAACAGTGCCAGGACTCTTCCATCACCCCTGTGCCATCAATTTTAAGATACAATTTTAAGTGACTCATTTACAGCAGGACTCAGTGTCAGTGGTTAGGGCATCTCTGATTTAGAGGAGTGAAAATGGGAAGAAACTCTAGGTCTCAGAATTGAAGAAATGTGATATTATTATTACATATTTTTTGCCTCCTGGTGGTTTCGGGTGCTCTACTTGTTGAGGGAAACCTCACTGGTAATGAACTATGGAAATGATTTCTGAAAGTCCAGTCTTGGTGGTATTATTATTGCTCTGTGTGGACCTGCCTTGAATGTACGTTTGTAGGGGATCTTGACACAGAATGGGGGTGATTATAGCCCAAGGGTTTTGGATCCATTCAGATGTCTGCTGTGAGACTTCAGGCAGGTTACACAACGGTGGTAGGGGAGGCTGCGAGGGGTGTTTCGGAGGCGAGATCCCCGGCATAAAGAAGGCCGCGGAGCCCACATCGAGGGCACGATTCCTTCTTTATGGGGCACAGCGCTGGCTCTGTCGGCCACGGCAAGCGGGGCGCCAATGTCGCCTGCACAGTTGCATTCTGCTGGATCAGCATTACGTAAGGTCACCATCACATACATGCACGTGCGGGATAGTCAGGGTCATGGACGGGACACCGAGACCTCTCAGCCCTTACCCGACACACCTGACAGCAACCTCTCTGATTCTTTCTCCTAGTTTGTAAAATGGGACTAATAACTCTTAATACTAACAGGTTGCTCACGTGGATCAGAGGCTTTTCTGGGTGCTTTGAACATCTCTCAGCATTTAGTCCTTCAAGAGCTCCTTGAGGCAAGCACTACTATCAGCCCCACTTCGTAGCTGGGGAAACTGAGGCACCGAGTCATTTGCTCCAGGCCTACCCAGAGTAAGCTGCAAAGGTGGGATTTGAAACTGGGCCATCTGCAGTTGAAAGTCCTGACCTCGAAAACACCAGCCTCCATATGAAAATCTTTTTGCTTGGGCCCCCTGCACATAATAGGTCCTTAGCACATGTTAGAACTTATTGATATTAATAAACACAATGCTATGCATTCTTTTTTCACCCAAGGATGTTTTTCCGTTGATTTTTAGAGAGATTGGAAGGAAAGGAGGGAGAGGGGGAGAGAGAAACATCAATATGAAAGAGAAACATTGATCTGTTGCCTCCTGCATGCACCCTGGACAGAGATTAAACCTGCAACATGGGCATGTGCCCTGACCAGGAACTGACCCATTGACATTTCAGTGCAGGGGATGGCGCTCAACCAACTGAGCCACACCGGCCAGGGCATGTGCACTCTTATTATTAACAACAAAGATAATGGAGATGGTGGGAAAGGAAAGAGTTCAGTGCCTTGAACCACAGCCCTGCCACTCACTAGCTGTGGCCCTTTGTTCAGGTGGTTTCATTCTTCTGAGTCTCAGTCTCTCCATCTGTAAAATGGGGATGTTTATAGCTTAGGGCTGTTGGGAGGACTTCATGATGAAATCCATGCAAACAGATTAGCTAAGAGAAAAAGGTGACTTACTTCTCTTAGCATAGAGATAAATGCCCAGAAGTGGGATCACTGGGTCAAATGGCAGTTCCATTTTTAATTTTTAAGGAACCTCCATACTGATTTCCACAGCAGCTGCGCCAGTTCGCATCCCCAACAGCGCACAAGGATTCCCCTTTCCCCGCACCCTCGCCAGCGCTTGTTCGCTGGCCGTTTGAGGACAGTCGTCCTGACAGGTGGGAGGCGGCATCGTTGTGGTCAGCGGCCTTTCAAGGGGCAGGCCCGGGTGGGGCCTGGAGAATGGGAGGGGGGCATCCTCGCAGAGGGAACCAGGGGCAAAGGGTCAATGCCAAGGGCGTGGGAGCGCATCTGGAGGGACAGTGTCAGATGGATCTCCGCAAGAAGGAGTTCTGACTGTCACTGGTGAAACGCAGAACTCATTGTCCCACTCTTCCGGCTAAAACCCTTCAGTGGCTCATCTCTGCCACCGAACCAGAATCAGGTCCGTTTGTCCCCTTGAGATCCAAGGAGATCCTGGCTCGTTCGCACCCCCACTGCCCGAGCCAGCACCAGCCATTCACACTTCCCGCGTTTCTCTCAAGTGGATCCGGTTCTTTCCTGCCTCTGGGCCCGGTTCCTGCCCCTCCTTCAGGTCTCCCCTGAATGTGACTTTCGTTCACCTTGAAGGTTTGCTGCTGCCGCAGGCGGGTGGGAGCTTCCACTCTGCTCCTGTGTCCTGCTTTTTTCTGTAATCCTCACCCAAGGATACGTTTCCATTGATTAGAGAGAGAGAGAGGGAGGGAAATATTGATTGGCTGCCTCTTGTACTCACCCGGACCGGGGACCAAATACACAACCTTTCTGTGCACAGGATGACACTCCAACCAACCGAGCCGCCCGGTCAGGGCCCGTGTCCTGTTTTCCCACCTGTCCCAGCTCACAAGTGTGTTCTGGGTGGTGACTTTTCTTATCTCTGCCACCACTAGACTGTGAGAGTCTTGAGGGTGGGGCCGGATCTCAGCCATCCTTGTACCCCAGTGTGCCACCCGGCCAGGGCTCTGCAATCTTATTGCAACCTGAATATGCTACCCTAATATTTTATAACAATGTGACTTGGAGAATGTCAGGACCACAACTGCTTCTAAACAGCTTCCCCTTCAACTAGGTCTAAAAACACTAACCTTTTAGGGTCTCACTATGGGACCAAAAACAGAAGTAAGTACACCATCTGGAAGGTCACCCAACCTGCTACTCTAAATAGCATTATTCATAACAGCGCCACTGGGAGTAACCCCAGTGTTCACGGGCAGGTGAGCGCAGAAACAGCTGTGGAACATCCGTGCAGGGAAACTCCACACGGCAGTAAATGTGATGAGCTATTGGTACACGCACAAGGCGCAGGAACCTCAATGCGTAATGCTGAGCTAAGGAAGAGAAACTTGAAAGACTACATATGTCTGATTTTCCTTTCCCAAGAACTTTCTAGAAAAGAGGCCTCTGAGTGTCCAAGACGGTGGGCCACCAGGCTTCAGGGACAGCTGGGTTCTGCCATTTAAAACCAGAGTCGGGCGCCCTCTAGTGGCTGACTTTGAGAGACATAAAGCCAGGGGCCCATGGCAGCTGTTGTCTCCAGCTTGCTGGAGAGCTTGTCGTGGAGAGGCTAATACTAACAATAATAATAATATTAAACATTATATATCATATGTACAATTGTGTATTCTATCCACCCATAATATATATATATATATACCATAGATATAAGAACCAACACAAAGCCTTGTTTGTTTAGTTCATGCCTTACGGCCAAGGAGGTGTGTGTGGGGGGTGACTCAGCTCACAAGTTCACAGCTTTCTTTGGGACTGCCTTTCCTCAGAAGGCACTAACGTCTGGGGGGCTGTGTCTTTAGCAAGCCCAGTTGGATATGACTGCTCTCCTCCATGCCCTCAGGATCCCTTCACACAGCTCATCTGAATTCTTATCTCGTTTAGCTGGGCATCATGATAAAAGCAGCTTCAGCAGACACTCTCAGAGCTCTGCCTACATCCCCTGGGCATTCCGTGGTGCTCCAGTGGACGCCCAGAGTATTTTTTGGTACCTATGGGTTATTTTCTGGAATCACAAAAGGCTACTCTGCCTGCATGGGCCTGCTGGGAGCGTTGAAGAATTAACACCCTGTGGGAGCAGCCCCCAGGCAATGACTGAGGGAAATTCAAGCAAAAATACCCCAGCGCCCAGTGCCCTTTCCTCTTGGGTGTGTACTGTGCTGTACTTCCCAGTCTCTCCCTGCTGGCTTGAGCTCTGGTTACCTGCAGTGGCAGTTGGCACAGCAGCCACCCTTTATTATCTACCTTCCCTACAGCTGTCCCTTGAACCTCCCAAATTAACTAGGGAGCCTCAGAGTCATTTTCTGGGAGGTTCTAAACTGAGACAATCGCTCTTGTTAGTGCCAGGCCCAGTTTGAAGCATTTATAATCTCATTTAACCTTCACAACAACCTCAGAGGTGGGTACTGTGACCCCACTTTGTGGATGGGAAGACGGGGCAGGGAGAGGAAACATTTCTCCAAATGCGGCAGAATGAACAATGGCCCCTAAAGATGCCACCCTCTAACCCCTTGGGCCTGGGAATACTATGTTGTTGTCAAAGTAAGAAGATGCAAACCTGTAGAAACACTGTATGTGTTTATCTGAGCCACACTGATGACATATGCTGGGCAGCAAGATCTCAAGTGCTCTGGAGAATTAACAGTTTACAGGGTTTT